GCTCAAAGCAAGCACCCCTGCTTGAAAAGGCAAAACAACTTGTTAAGATTCCCTGGGATCCATCGGGATGGGCAGCCAGAGGTGGAGGCTGCAGGAACTTCTGCTGTTGAAGCACCAGATGTGCAACACACCGTCCAGGTGACATCTTTGGCAGCAGTCACAACACTTTGAAGTTCTGCACATTAATGGAATTTGGATCATTTAAGAGCCTTTTCCCCCTCCTTTTTCCCTTTTTTTTTTTCCCCAGAGAGATGAACCCAAACCCTGGGTTGTAAGGGTAGTTGGTCGTTCACAGATCACATCAGGAAGCTTCAAGAATACCATGACATCTCCAAATATTTAACAGTTAGAACATACGGCAATAATCTGTTGGACTGATACTATTTTCACTTCTTCTCTTGAGCCATCTCCCCTTTGACAAGAAGATTCAATAAACCCTAAACTCTGAACCCAGTCACTATTCTCCAAACTCGATGACACCTAATGGCAAGTGGTCTGTGGCCAATCCCAAACGGATTCACACCCGGAATTCTACCAATGCCTTCAGCATTCCTCTCTCAGAACCAGAATTTCAGACCAGGGTGGGGCTTGTTTTGTCAATCCAGGAGTTCATTCTGAAGCTGTTTCCATCCCTTGATACGGCAGAAGGAACCAGCAACGGCGTCCCAAGAGCGGCTCGAGAAAAGTCAATCGCTGCCATGGCAACCGATGTGCCAAATTACTGCTCTCCTGCAATGAGGGCTGATAACAACGATTTCCCATTCCCTTCAGGTCAGTGGGCTTGGTAACACTGGGACAACAACAAGATTCAACAGTAAAACCTTTTGTCAGACCACGGCTGGTTTGACTGTTCCCTCTCCTTCCCCCAGCCCATCGCTGTCCAGTAGCGCAGAGGTTGGACCAGGATCCTGCTGGCTGAAATTCTCTGGGTATTTTTGCCTCACTGCCTGTATTTTCACCAGGAAACATCAGAGTACAATGCTGGTTCCTGCACTCCCTCTGAAAGAGCTTTTTGCAACACCTGAGAGATGTTTTGTTGTGTTCAGGGGCAGTGCGTGGATTGTTTAAAATGAGAAATACACATTTTACATGATGATAAGAAAGCAGCAGCAGCAAGCAGACAGCAACCTCAACGATTCTTCAACCAAAGGAAGAGAAAAAGGAGTGATGAGATGAACACAAGTGCTGCTGAGATGGTAAATCACCCCTCCCTGTCTGTGGTTCCTAACTCAATCAGGGCTGGAAACAGATGCCTGCCAGCCTAATGTGGAACAAGCAAACGGCCCCTGACCAGACACTCAACATTTGTGTCCCAAAATTTCTGAAGGAGGAGTTAATCAAATTAAAAGATAATGTCATAACACACTTAGCCTTTGGAACACGGCGCCAAGGTAATAAATCACACAAAATGCAACTGCAAACATTAATCTGAGGCAAAGGGCCGCTACCTGAAAGCACCATCCATCTCTGACCATTGCCAAGAGGTTTCCTGAGCACTTAGAAGTCAAAATATGTTTTAACTACCATGAGTAACAAAAAGCAGCTCAAAGGAAGATGCCCTCGTGACCACAACTAAGGCAGTGGGGGTGGTGAAGTGGGGGGAAAACCTACACACTAAATTGAGTCACCAGAACTGCTGCAGAGGAGGTTTAAAAGTTGAACAATGGAGGGTTGAAGGTCCACAACTGCTACTCTTCCACCTTCTCCCCCTTGAAGAGCAGTGATGGCTGTGGGGGTGTCATCCCAAGGGTCCCACTGCCTTTGGAAGGCTGACAAGGAAAACACAAAGACCTCTGCTGAGCAGTGTCTGCAGGATCAGGACAGACAAGGAGGGAGGGTGGATCAGAAACTTTTCAGATCCTCTCAATAAAGTCTCTGTAAAGTCACTGAGTCACAGAGTGGTTTGGGTTGGAAGGGACTTCAAAGATCATCCAGTCCCACCCCCTGCCATGGGCAGGGACACCTTCCACCAGCCCAGGTTGCTCCAAGCCCCGTCCAACCTGGCCTTGGACACTTCCAGGGATCCAGGGGCAGCCACAGCTTCTCTGGGCAACCTGTGCCAGGGCCTCCCCACCCTCACGGGGTAGAAACAAGGAACCAATTCCTCCTCCTCCGCTGACACTCCAAGGCAGAAAGTGCTGGATTGAACTCTGAACAACCACTGCAATCACAAGAACATTCACAGAAATATAATTCTGGTACAAATGGGTTTCTCAAAGCCTTGTGAAACAGCTTTTTTGTCATCATGTGAGATGCAACAACTACAAAATGTGGGCCAATTTCTGCCTTCACCTTAAAAGATTTAATTAATTTTTAGCCACCTACACTCCTTTCTCTAAACAACGAATGTAATTTAAAAAAAAAAAAAAAGATTATACCAAGCTTAAAACTTCACCACATCCTTGCTATTAAAACTTCCCTCAAAAGACACTCAGCACCTTGATGTTCTTTCTTTTTCCTCGAAGTTGGAACGTCGGGAGCGCGTCACCCCCCACACACTGACTCACCCTGGAGATGTCACAACCAATCCTCCCCCCCAGGAGCAGGAGAGGCCACTGGTGGCACCGTGGTTGCTCAGGAAACCACCTCCCTGGAATGTGCTGAAATTTGCCTGAAGCCTTAAAATAAACATTTTGGGACTGAGCAAAAACTTCACCTCTCGGCATCTCCAATTGAAACCGTCACTCCTGGGTGCAGAGCAGATAATGTTCTCTTTTCTTTGCTAGTTAGGGTTTTAAACTGCCTTTAAGCATATAATTAATTACATTTCTTGTCAGGGATCACGTTACAAACCACTCCACCTCCACTCCACTGCCAGGCAAACCTTCAGCCTGATTTTCTTCCTCCTTTCAGCTCACACCATCACTCCTGGAGATGCTCAGGATTTAGCCCTGTATGCTAATCCTTCACAGGACACACACATTTTAGGAGAGGGTTAGAGTAAGCCTAACACTGAAGAAAGGAGCTGTATTTCCTTGGAAAACTGATTACAGGCAGTGCCTGAAGCTTTGCCATGATCCAGGGTAGGACTCAGCCCCTCTTCCTCCATCTTCCCATCAGGAGCTGGACCCTACACTCAAAGTCCTTTGGTCCCTACAAGTTGTCCACATCTTTGTTCTTTCTTTCCTTCCTTCCCCCCCCAGCCACCTGCATCCTTCCAAGGGCTCATCTCCTGAGCTCCTTCAATCCAGCCTTCCAGCCCAGCAAAACCTCCAGCCCTCACGTTACTGCCACTTTCCCAGCAGGATCCATCGATCCAGGCACCTTCCATAGATCCAGGCACCTTCCTTCCATGAACAGCTTCAGACACCCTTCCCCAACAGACTCCTCCCTATTCCAAGTACACCAACAAGGCACTTGGGGACGTGGTTTAGTGGTGCCCTTGGCACAGTTGGGTTTATGGTTGGACTTGATGATTTTAAAGGTCTTTTCCAAGATAAATGGTTCCCTGACTACACTGTGACAATCTCCCTGCTGTCACTTTTCCCCCGTCCTTCATGTTCCTTTAATGACACTTCCAGGCAGTACAAGACTCCACTTTTCCTTTCAGATCACTCCACTATCAGCAAGAGGAAATCAAACAGCAAAAAAAGACATTAAAGGAATTGCAGATCCCACTGCCAGAGCCCAGCCCTGGGCTTGGCAGGAGTCCTGCCCTTCAAAGCTGGGGCAGAGGGAGACACACACACGTGCAGGCACGGGAATGTGGAACTGATGCTTTTCAAGCCAAACTTACAATTCCATTCTAATTCTCTGTGGATGCAATCATAATAAGTTTATAATTATTAACAATTATAAACATGAGAGAGGAAGCCATTCAGTCAGGAAAAAAAAGGGCTGCAACAGCACAATTTTAATTGTAATTCACGATGATTGAAAAAGGAGCAGCACTTTTCAAGGCAACTGTGGCCTCAAAGGAGGCACTGCCAAGCACAGGGATTGTCTTTTTATTTCCTAAGACAACTCCTCTTTGAGACACAATACATTAAAGCAAGCCCACATTCAAAATCTGGACACCATTCAATTAATCCCTCCAATTTTGGGTGCTCCAGAAGCTCTTCCACGAGTTCACCAGCCACAGAAACAAACCCCCTGATTCCACAGAGCCATTTATTAGCATGACCTTGGCTACTGCAGCTGAAGATTTCAGAGGCACACGTCCCACATTTACACACCATTTCAACACATCCAAAGCCTGCAGTGAGCACAGATCCCCTCGGCTCCTAACGAGGGAAAGCCGGGGCAGGGAAGCGCAGGATTCACCACAAAACCCACCCAAACACTTGCTGCTGTTGCTGCTGCTTTCCAGCCTCCTCCCAGCGCCTCCAGCCCTCCCCAGGTTGTCCAACTTCCAAGTTAGGAAGAAATCTGGGAAATAATGCCGGGATTCCAGGCACTCACTCACACATCTGCTGGGTCTGCCTGGGCTCGGGGGGATTTCGGAGCCCATGGATGAGAACGGGGTCAAGCCAGGAAGGGACATGACCCACTTCTATTTATGTTTCAACCAGAGGCCTCGAGCAAGATGAATACTTTTCAGAGCAACTACTACAGGATGCATAAATCAAACCAGTGTTTCTTTAAAAATAAAATAATAGTAAAAAAAAAAACCCCCCCCCCCCCGATATTCCTGGCTGCAGGTTACAAGGTCCCACGGTTTTTTGGCTTTTTAGCTGATTTAATGATATTTCTGAAATGTGGTTTTATTGCAGCCTCTCTGCAGACCAGCATTAAAAATTAAATTTAAAGCAGTGCATTTACTGGCTCGTTTTTATCCTCTCTAAATTATTCCGAGGGGAGAGCGGCCACACGCAGAACTGAGAGAAACAAACGTAAAATGGGCAACAATCCGAAATTATTCCTTATTCAAGTTTCCAAGCCAGTGAAACCGGGCTGGGGAAGGTCCAATCAACCACCTGGGCAAAGTGATATTTTAAAAATCCTGCTGGTTGGAATTGCCTGTTCTCCCTGATCCCGCAGAGCCTTCGCAAGGGGCTTACCAGGGCAGAAAGCATCAACGTCCAGCTTCTGGGCTGCAGAGAGGGTTGGGGAGCCAAGCTCAGACTCTGGGATTCGAGGGCTCTCCACAAACTTTGCTTTCCTCAAAGGGGCTAAAGGAGAAGGAGGGGGAGAGAGAAAGAGAGGTCATGAGTAAGGGAAATAGCAAGCAACAGATGGAAGCACTTAACTAAACGACACTGTCAGACTCATATCAGGTTACTCTTTTTTTTTTTTTTTTGCCAGGAAAAAAAAAATTATCTGCATTCTTTACAAAGGAGATGGCTCTTGGTTAAACTTTCAAACTGCACAGGCTGACTTGAAAGTGTGTGAGCACCAAGGCACATTCCTGATACTCTAAAACACTTCCTTTTCTCCTATTTTATTAATTATTTTTTTAATAGGAAGCAAACGAGCCCGCGTTCAGCAGCTGCAGAAAAGCAAAGATCATAGAGAGGTACACAGAGCCCATCAGGGTTTAAGATATTTAACTCTAAATATCTGACCTGGACACACAAATGCTGTGTTCTGACCTGGACACACAAATGCTGTGTTCAGTAATTGCTTCCTTTGACGTAAATTTTCAATTTCTAAAGATTCTCAGTGTTGGAGCAAACAGGTTTGGTGTTCAACACAAAAGAGCAGAGCAAAGCTAATGGTGCCCAAGCCAAAAACAAGCACTTCACTTTTATCCTTGCAAATCTAGAGGAGATCAGGAGACTTAATAAAGAGCAGGGAAAAGGTAAAAAGTGTCTGTCACAAAGCAGTGCTGACCACTAGTACTAAAAAAAATGGGATTTTCCACATGTTTTAACAGCCTGAACTCTAAAAGACATGAAATTCTGCACAACATTTGTTTGGAATAAAATTAACTAAAATAGAAGTGGTTTAGTGAAAGTCTTTAAACACACTCCTGCCAGACCAGAGAAACAGAACTAGAGAATAAGTTCTATGCAGAGATTATTGTATTGCATTTCCAAGTTAAACTCTCGTGCCCATTACAGTGAAAGGCTGATTTGAAAAACCACTCAGCAGCAGTTCCGGGGGTCAGCACCTCCTGCCCCTCCATTTACATAAATTATATTTATAGTTCCCTGTCCCACAAATTAAATTTGGGCTCGGAAACTAAAGATGGGGGGGTTGTTCTTGTGCATCTCCTGCAATAAAAGCTCAACGGGGCAGGGAATGACCTCAGAGGCAGTGATAAATCTGGGTTTTTTAGGGAAAGGCTGAGCAGGTCCAAGGTGGGGAACCAGACAGACAACACACAACCAGCTCCCTAACTGAGCTGTACGTCCACGATCCCAGGAATCTTTAAAAAAGGGGTGTGGAAAACAGAGGTAAAGGTTGGGGTGTGGTTTTCCAATAGAGAGTCCCTGTGGAGCAGAATGAAGGCAAGGAATCAACACCCCCAAAGAGGTGCTAAAAACCCTCCTGACTTTCTTCCTTCCCCCTCCTGATCCATCCCAGGAGACCTGGAGAGGGCAAACAGGTGCCACGCTGCCACTCTGCACAAGGAAACCTTGGATGAGGGTGAGAGATTTCCAGCACATTCCCTGGGAGTCCATGGGGGCCGGTGGAACAGGAGCTGTGCCAGGCAGGAGGAATGGGGGAGATTCAGGGAGATAAGGGCAGCCTGGAGCCCCCTCCTGCCTCCATCCCACTGGATGTGCAGCCCCTTCACACAAACAACCCGATGCCAACTTCTGTACAACCCCCCCCCAAAAATCCCACATGTGCACACACAACACCCCACCAGCTGCAAACCAGCCAGGACCAGTGAGAAATCATTCCCAGTAAGGACTTGTGCCAGATCCTGATGCAATGAAAACATTTAAATATCAAGATCATTGCCACAGCCTGAAAATTGTTTAGAATAATAACCCTGCAGTGGCCAATCCTGTATTATTTAATTTTTAATTGCAATTTTAATAAATATGGTTGTTTCAAATGTTTTACCATGGCCCCCCAGTAACAGTCATTTTTATAACATATATTAGAAATAGCCCATCTTTCCTTTCTTTATCATTCCTGGCCCACCCCAGGACCACACATCATCCCATGCACTGTGCTCTGGAACACAGAACTAACAGAGTTTTCACAGTTCTACCAATGACTGTGATGGGATTGTCACCAGAAGGCTCTGCACTACAATTTACTGCAAAAACAGAGGAAGAAGAATTTTAGTAAACAAAGAGAGGGAGATGGTACCACTACACACAAGTCCAGAAAGTGCAGGACCTGCACCTTTTGACAGATCCAGCACTGAACAGGTTGGCTCCCCCCTGTGAGGGATCAATCAGTGTCCCATTGCAGTGTGGGTTTTATTTCTGCATCTCCTCTGGATCTCCTGAGGAGCCCATCACCCCATCAATTCCTGCCTTCTCCACAGCACTGACTGATGACAGCACAAGGGAGCAGCTCGTGGATTCAACAAGCAGATGGAGCTTTGAGGGCAGCAAAGAACAAATCACCCATGAGGTGAATTGTCACTGCACTGCAAGTTCAGGCACACACATCACTTTACTGGGTTTCAGAGAATGGGTTGGGTTGGAAGGACCTTAAAGACCACCCAGTTCCACCTTCCACCAGACTAGGGTGCTCCAAGCCCCGTCCAACCTGGCCTTGCACCTATTTTGTGTTTTTATTCCCTAAAAAGCATGACTTAAGCCTTAAAAACATGTTTCCACCAGCCAAGACACACCTTGTAAACATGACTCACACAAAACAGTTTGCTTTAAAAGGCTCAAGTCAATTCAATCCTCTCTCTGCAGCTGCAGGTTGGGAAAAGCCACAGAGCAAAAAGTCTCTGTTACTTCAAATATCCTGAACCTGTAAAAGACAAAAACTCCTCCTAAGTCACATGTAACCTGATTACAGGAAAGGAGGATTTTCACATGCAAGAATTAAGCCCCCCTGACTCATGTCCAAGTGAAGATTATCCTGACAGATTCAGATTTGGGGAATTTAGTCTTCTCCTGGAATAAACAACAAATGGAAACGTCATGAACTCAGAAATCTGGTTTGACACTCTTCAGCCAAATGTTAATTGATCTCTTTATAAAAAAGTGACTTTTTAGGCCCAACGGTTTGCCTTGGTCCTGAACACCCTCCTGTGAGCACAGGCCAGTCTCACCATCAAAGTCATGGGACGAGCATTTGGCACAAACTATAAAAACCAACAAAAGCATGAAACAATCATTTGAAGTGCTCTGTACCTGCTCAGTCCCTTCAGCCTCTTATTCCTGCAGCATTTTCCGTATGGAACAAACCAACTCCAGGCCTTAAACAGCATCAAAACAGCCCTTTCCTGTTACACAACTGCAGGTTTTTGAGCAGAGAACATTATGTCTTCCAAAAACACCAGGGAAAAAGGGTCTGTGCAACAGCCAGTTATAAAAATGTCAGGGATTAAGGGAAGGTGGCAGTCGCTGGCTTTCCAGAACTGCAAAATGAGCCTTTAGCTCAGAAAAACATATGGGTTCCACAGAGTCTGAAGTCCCAACCTTGTCCCTGGGGTCCCACCACCCGTCACCAACGACAGCCCAGGAGCTGATGGGCACAGCCCGGGCTCTGTGTCCACCCAGGGACCCCTCCTGTGCCCAGGGGCTTGGTGACAAACACCAGGCTGGCATCAGATAGGAACTGACTTGTAGTACCAGTGTAAGAACTTGGATTTCAGTGCCTGAGAAGTTATTTCAAACTATTACTGCCCATTTTCGGGGCGAGTTCCGCAGTTCTTAGCGAGATTAATCCCCATCAGCGGCGGAGCCAGCGGAGCAGAACTGAAAATCCTTCTGCCAGTGCAAATAAAATTCTCATTTCACTTTGCCAGCGACTCTTCCCGAGCAAGGAAAGCGATGCTAATTCCAGGGTAGGAATTAAGCACATAATGCAACACAATTAGCGGGGCTGGAAGTCAGAAAGTTTAATTAGCTGCTCGTTTATGGCACTTTCTGCAGCAGGTCTTGTGTCTTCCAGAGGGGACAAGGATTCCTCCCTGGGAGAGTGGGGAGGCCCTGGCACAGGTTGCCCAGAGAAGCTGCCCCTGGATCCCTGGAAGTGTCCAAAGCCAGGTTGGACGGGGCTTGGAGCAACCTGGGCTAGTGGAAGGTGTTCCTGCCCATGGCAGGGGATGGGACTGGATGATCCTCAATATTTCTTCCAACCCAAACCATCCTGGGATTCTGTACTGAACTAACACTGGGGAAAGTATTTCCACACCAGCTGCAATGGCAGCAGCCTGGCTTTTGAAGAGTCTCTTTAAAACCAGAGGTTATTTGGAAAGTTCTGTTTCCACCTGGCAAACACAAACCATCAGCCCCATCCCTCAAACCTTCACACCCACATCAGTGGCTGCTGAGGCTCCTTTCCTGAGGTTGGATGAACAGTTTGGAGAGCTCTGTGGCCCCTCCAACATGGAAAACACTTTAAATCCAGGGATCTGCTGATGGTTTATCCTTCTGAACATCTGCTTGGAGCACTGGGATCAATGCAGTTCTGTTTGTGATCAATGCCAAGCATCTACTGCCACATCAAACCAACCCTAAATAAAATCAGGATGTGCTTATTCTCTCTGAATAATCATTTTATCTCTAGTAGCACCGAGTTCTCCTTCAGCCCATTGAGCTCCCTAATTCTATTGCATTTTCTCTGACACCATTTCATTGTCACATAATTTATAGATGAGTTAGTATTTTAATTAGAAAAAGGCTTTTCTTTAGATTAAAAGGCATTGATAAAAGGAAATTATCGTAGATTAGCAAAAGGCTTCAGGTCTGAAATTCAGTTTGAGCTCTGGCAGCAATGTTTCACTAACAAGGGGTTATTAACACCTAATGAATTGATTGAACAAGGCTTTATTTTGGCAGATCTGAATTCATACCGTGGTTTGACTATGATATACAACACACCTAAACCTTTTTTCTATGCTTACACCCATAAAGATACACATAAATTTATCTATGGCCAAGGAAGATGCTGGAGCAAGCAACTCTTTTCCCATCACGTGGATGATGGATTGATCCATCCCAGGGTTCCTGTGAGCCTCTCCATGCACCAGCTCCTTACATGCATTAGGAAAATGTCCATTACTGCCCAAACTGCATTAACA